TCTTTCCCTGTTGTTGCCCTGGATTCCCTGGGCCCGGCCTGCCTGCTTCCTGGCCAGAACAGCTCTCTCCACTGCTGCATTGTTTTGCTCTGGCTTCCCAAGACCTTTCAGGCAGGGCCCTCCTCACTTGCCTCTGGCCTTTCACCTGCAAACGCTTTGGTGCTCCAAGGACTGGCTGGGTCTGCCTCCCCCATGGGGGTGCTGGGTGAAGTCCTGAGCTCGCAGCTTCCAGGATCCTCTCTCTCACCTCTCCTGGGACCTGCCTCCACGTTCTGTCTTCAAGGTCTCCCCACACCCTTTTCTTCCCAGTTTGGCGCAGGTTTACTGTGTGGATGACACACCTGAATAAAAACACTCTTCCTAGAATAAAGAGCTCCTGGGGAGGCTGGGACCCCCCTCGCCGGGTGGAGAGCCAGCAAGGACAGGCAGCCTGGCGGGGGAGGACACGGGGCCCTGAGTCAGGTCGCAGGTGGGGACAAGTGTCCAGCCTGGTGGTGTCTGGGCAGTTGGGCCTTGTCCAGACCCCCTTCTCGCGAAGCCTGCTCTGGCCTCTCACATACTTCGCTGTGACTCCCCAAGTGCACTGGGGCTGCCTGACGTGGCTGCTGGCAATGAACCCCCGCAGCCTGGCCAGCCCTTGCCTAGCGGCCCCCCACGCCTGCTGCGGCAGCCCACCTACGGGTCCTATTGTGCTCACACACACCCTGGCACGTGAAGTCATGCAGTCTTTATTTTGACCTGGGGCAGCAGAGGCAGGCAGTGCTGGGAAGGCCTGGGTGGCCATGGGGGTGTTGTTCTCTCACCACCACCCTGCCTCACCCATGGGCATTCGGCTGGGAAGGGCTTTGGAGGGGGCTTCTCCTCCTCCAGTTGGGCAGGACAGAGGCTGAGCTATGGGGGTACCCTGGGAGGCCCCGTCTGGCTTCCCAGCCCTGAGGAGCCACTTCCCCCACCCCAGGGCAAACCAAGGGGTGGGCCAGGGTGTCTGGAGGATATCAGGGCCTGGCAGCCCCAAGAGGACATCCTGGGGGCAGCAGTGGGGGCCCTGGTCACCATTGCTCTGGAGCTCACGTGCTGTCTGGGCTGGGGGGGCCCTGAGGGCTGGAAGTGGGGAAGGGGGTCCCTGAGGGCAGGCAGGAGCTGGGGGCGGGCAGGGGGCAGGGGCAGGAGAGGGCAGGGGTCCAGGGAGGGACGGAGCAGGCGGGGGACGACGGGAGCAGGCCAGGCG